CTGGGTTCGAGGATGCCAGCCTGGGCGGAGTCTCACCCATTCCAATTATAAAAATGCATCTTGTGTGGTCTTTAGGAAAGAAGGTGGACTTGATAACTTGTAAAACATTAAGCTTCAGGGCTAGCTTCAGGCAGCGCTGGATCCAGGTTCTCAGACAACAGCATGGGGAATCTGCCTCCCTCCAGCTCTCACCTTGACTTTCCTTCACTCTGGCTGCTCCGGGGGGGCTCCCTCCACCAGGCAGCCTTGGAAGCAGCCAGGACGGCAGCTCTGGCTGGAGAGGGCACCTCCTTCCCAGGCTCCCAGCCAGAGTCCTGGGACTCTGATGTGTGTCACCCCAGACCTGTCGTGGTGATGGTGCCCAGCCATGCCAGAGACCCCCATGAACCCTGGAGCCCGGGGTAGGGGGGAGTTGGCCCCAACAAGCCCACCAGAGTGAGTGGGGAGTGGTTCCCCAAAGAAAACTGCATCTCTTGGGCAGGTGTCTGAGGCGTCCGGCTCAAGAGAGGAAGGAGAAGGTGGTCCTGAGAGACAAGGGCTTGGAAAATGGTCCCAGATTTGCTGCGTGATGACCAGGTCACTTCACCTCCTTCAGCCAGATGAGCTGAGAAAAGGGCTCAGACCAGTGCCTGGAATGCAGCGCTGTGCCTGGGAGCTGTTCTGGTCGTTACTGTGGTCTGAGCGCACACATGTGCCTGGCAGCAAGGTGATTCCTCCCAGGCGGATGCAGAAACAGACCCCTGAGGCTTGGCCCTGTCCCTCCCTGCTCTAGCCCTGCTGGGCTTCTCGACTGACCCCTGTGTGTCCTCAAAGGGAAACAGAGGCCCCTTTGGAGCTTGACCCTTGACCCTGACTCCTACTTTGGGATCTGCTGCCCCTGAACATTCCCCCAGCGCCAGTCCCTGGATGCAGCATCAGGTCCAGGGAGGGATTTGACCCCCAGGGATACTGGGAGCAAGACATCCCTCCGTCCTCACAAGACTCCAATGAGGGGAGCTGTTTGGTCCCCAGGGGTTCAGAAACCTATCTGAGGTCACAGAGCTGGGAAGTGGCCCCGTTCAGATTGACCTTCCAGTCCAGCCAACTCCAGACCTGGTGCTCATTCCCCGCCCTTGAGAAAGGAAGGAGAGAAGGGGTGGGGAGAAGGAGACCCTCCGGGAACCTTGGCAACCTCCTCCAGCCTCCTCCAGCTGGCCACCTCCAGCCCTGCCTGCTGAGACGCCTGCACTTGGTGATGTTAGCACAGCGCTGTCCGAAGCGAGCAGGTGCGGGCACCGCCAACAATGGAGCAATTTGCTGTAATGATGGGGAGGCCTGCAACGGGCGCCAGAGCCGCTTCCCGCCCGCCAGGGCCAGGGGCCTGCTGAGCTGCAGCCAGGCAGGGAGAGTGGTGCCAACTGGATTCAGAGGGCCAGGCGGAGGCCACTCAGCAACGGCTCTCCATCCACCCCCGAGCACGGCCGAGCCCATTCTGCAGGGGAAGGAGCCTGGGCCCAGCAGGCCCCCGCTGGCCACTGAGACCTGCTGGGGCAGGAAGGGGCAGGGCCGGCATCCTGCCGGGAAACCTGGATTCTAGTCCAAGCCTTAATGCCAACCTGCTGGGTGGGCTGGGGTAGTCCCTGTGCCCCAGGCCTCAGTTTCCCCTCCAGACACACTTTCTGCCTGACAACTGGGACTTCAGGTTCCACAGCCCATCCCCTGCTCCTCCCTTTTCTTCCCCCCAGTTTCTGCCCCAGCTTGACTGAGTGGGGTCTTATGCCCAGCACAGTGGGGGACCCCAGTGCCACTCATGGGTGCTTCCTGTTAAGATTGGCAGAGCTGACCAGGCACGGTGGCTCACGCCTATAATCCCAGCACTTTGGGAGGCCAAGGTGGGTGGATCAGGAGGTCAAGAGATCGAGACCATCCTGGTCAACAAGGTGAAACCCCATCTGTACTAAAAATACAAAAATTAGCTGGGCATGGTGGTGCGCGCCTGTAGTCCCAGCTACTCAGGAGTCTGAGGCAGGAGAATTGCTTGAACCCAGGAGGCGGAGGTTGTGGTGAGCCGAGATCGTGCCATTGCACTCCAGTTTGGGTAACAAGAGCGAAACTCCGTCTCAAAAAAAAAATAGATTGGCAGAGCTGAGGTCTGCGTCTGAGGGCCACACAGTGGTTCCTGGATGTCCCACTCTGCTCTCACCCAGGGGGTGCCCCCACCAGCAACCGCACACAGTGGTGTCCCCCCAGAGGGCGCAGTCCACGGGAGTCGGGGAGCTGCTTACACCTGCCGCACTGTGGTGCCCAGAACACAGTAAGTGCTCAGGGACAGTGCACTGGGGCCAAAAGAGCATCAGCCTCAGAGTCACACCTTGAGTCCCATCCTGGCTGCACCCCCAACTGCCGAGTGTGGCATGGGGCAGGGGTGTCACCAGCCTCCCAACCCTCGGTTCTCACATCTGTAGAATGAAGAGCATCCACGCCTCCCAAGGTGGCTTCAAGGGCATAGGGTTCCCCATCTCGACCTGGCACCCAGGGGAGTGCCAGTAAATGTTAGTGGAAAGGCTCTTCACACCCCCAGGCCCGGCTGTAAGCACCGGGTGTGCTGGGGCACAGATAGACAGTGCCAGGCAGCCATATTTCCTCCACGGCAAGGCTCCGGAAGCCTTGCCTGGGGCCCCAGCTGTCCCTTGTTGTGGCCCTGGCTCCCCAGTAACCAGGCCGTTCCTGCAGGACAGAAGTGGGGTTGCCTGCTAGGCACCCTGAGAGCTCAGGGCTTCGTCCCAAGCTGGGAAGGACCCTCACCAGCATGTGCCCAGCACCTGCCCCAGGGCACCCCGTAACCAGCATGGCAGGTGAGCTGGCCGGCCACACAGCTGGTGGCAGCCTCCAAGGGCCTGGGCTGGGGATACCCTTCTGGCCTGAGCCCCTATTCTCTGCGGGATGCCCAGGGCCTAACTGTGGTCCTGCCTCCTGCAACAGAAGGGCCGAGGGTGGCCCTGAAGGCAGCCAGGCTGCCCACACGCACCAGGGCAGCCCCGTGTCCCCACATGCCCTGTTCCTCAGGGCCTCCAGGCTGGCTGCTGTTGGTCCAGCTCACAGAAGCTGGATTCCCTGTGCAGCCCAGTCCCCATCACTGTGCCTGGCACACAGTGGGTGCTCAGTAGACAGCAGTGGCCTGGGTGGGCAGACCCCCCGGGCAGCGGCTCCAGCCCTAGGCCCACAGGCTCCATCTCCCTCCCAGACGCTCACTCAATGAGAGAGGCCCCCTTGCGTGTTTGTTTGCTGCAGAACTCGGGCCCAATAGACTCCGTGTCTTTCTTCTCTCCTCCTCCATCCTGCACAGGAGCTCCAGGGAGCAGCAGTTTCCAGAGATTGAAGGCAAAATTGCTTGAAAGCCTGTGCTTTTATCCTCTAATTTGCTGCCATTTAGCAGGGCCAGGCGGAGGGGCAGTGGGGGCTCTGCTGGGCTGTCGGCGCAGAAGCGCCCATCACTGCGGAGAATGGTTCTTTGTCCTTTCCCAGACAGCTCTGGGGAGACCTTCACCCTCTGCAGAGCCAGACTGGGTGGTGCAGGGCCTGCAGGGGAGAACAACGGCTGGCCTCAGGGCCTCCCAGAGGGGCGCCCCACTCTGAAGGTGACATCTGTCCTCATGGCTCCAGCTCTGCTTGGGACAGTGCCCAGCCCCAGGGGCAGAGGTGCACACAGTCTGGGACAAGGATTAGGAAGGAAGGCCCAGGTGTCCCCAGTCTCGTCCACCTCCCTCTGGTCACTAACACGGGTCTTGTGTGGCTTCTGCCCAGGAAGAGGAGCCTGCCTCAGAGGGGTCCCTTGGGTGTCTGCAAGGCAGAGTCAGAAGTTCAGGAGAGGGAAAGAGAGCTGAGGTGGGGAGGGGGCAGGAGGTAGAGCTTCAGATTCTGGGGAAGTTTCTGGGGAGTCTGGAAAACAACAGTGCAAGTCTAGCTTTGGGGCGTGAGAAAAAGTCTGGTGCCCCGGGTTTTGCCATTAGCTTCTCTGCTGCAGTACTGAGAGCTGGCATGGCTGGGACTGGTGCTTTGACAGGGAGACAAAGGTCTCCCTGCCCTGGTGGACCCCACACCCCCAGCACTGGCTGTGAGGGTAGCTGGGAAATGGTTCTCCCTGCAGTGGGAAGGAGCTATGTGAGCAGAAGCATGCCCAGCAAGGCTGCACTGTCCGAAGTAGGGTGGGCTCTGGGAAGACAGGTCCTCAAGACTGGAGCCGGGGGAGGAGAGGGGAGGCCAGGGGAGGGGAGGCTGAGGGAGGGCACCTGGCTCACCGAATTTGCATCTCACCTAGTTGGCCTTGAGTGGTTTCCGAGTGGCCTCTGAGCACCTGGGTGAAGCCGGCGTCTGCCTCCCTCTCCTGGGGCCCATGGGGCAGGTGCAGCTGCCTTTGAGATTGAGGGCTCACGAGCCACAGCGGAAGGTGCCACCTTCCCTCCCTCTACCTTACTCCCAGTGTCCCCATCCTGCACCCTCAGTGCCACCTCCAGGCTTTTGCCCAGGACAGCTCCTCTCCCGAAGATGCCTTTTCTCCAGGGCTAATCCCTCCTAGCAGTCCCTCCAGCTCAGCTCCAGCCACACGCCAGTCCCTCCCACCAGTCACTGCAGTCCTTCTGCCATACAGCCCCTGCACAGGTTGGGCATGGCAGGATCCTCGCTGTCCTGGGAGCAGAAGGGCTGCAGGGGCAGGGACTATGTGTCTGTGTTCTCAGTGCCAGAGTGGACCCCCCTAAGCAGGGCATGGGCTGCATCTCCTGAGCCGCCAGCCAGCTCCTGAGAAGTGCAGGGTCCAGCGGGAGGGCACTAGTGGAGGCATGAAACCCTTGTTGGGATGAAACCCTGGTGTGGCAGGCCGGCCTTCATCCCCACTGCAGTCCCCCCACTTAAAAGAAAACACAGAGACCTCAGCCTCACGCCCGTCTCTTGTCTCCCTGGGGTCTCCCCTCAAAGCACGAAGGTTCTGACCACCCTGCAAAGTCCTCAGGAATCAGCACCAATAAAAAAATACACTTTATTGTGACCTCACGGTTTGCAGGGCAGTGCAGCGGGCACAGGCAGAGGAGCATGCAGAGCGCATGGCATAGGCGCACGGGACATGGCAGAGCAGCCCCTGCCCAGGCACCTCCTCTGGACTACCCCTGCACACCTTGGGACCCTCGGTCCCCGTCCTCCCAAAACCCCCAGAGGTCCTGGCTAGCAGATGGAGTGGCCGGGGCAGGCTTGGCTGCCAGGGCCGGCATGAGCCCAAAGACGGGGTGGGCAGAAGCAGCTGGCACAGCTCAGCCGGAAGCCTTAGTGGAGGGAGGAGGGCGTGGGAGCCCACACCTGCCAATCCAGCCCTGAGCTCCTCAGCAATTTTGTCTCTCTTGATTAACATCCCAGGAACATCAAGTTCACAGACATGTTGTCTTCTTCATCTTCCTGAAAACACCCAGAATGGAAAGGCAGAGAACAGCTTCGAGGTTCTTCGGGCCCCTTGACACTTTTGGGGGCAGAGAGAGTTGGTGGAAAGAGAGGTGAAAGGGCCAGGACCGAGGCTTATACAAGAGACAGACAGCAGCAAAGGCAGTGTCCTGGCTTGTATGGGAAGAGGGATGGTATGCAGGTGTGTGCAGGAGTGTGCAAGGGTGTGCAGGAGTGTGCACGTGCAGAGGCAAACTGCTGGAGCAGGAGGCCTGGAGCATACCCAGGTGCTTGCTTTGGGAATAAAACCAACCAGTAACTGTAAAGGGCAGACACCACCAGGCATTGCACTGTCCGTGGCGGGGTGGCGGGGCGGGGAACAGCATGTCTGAGACCCTCCAGACTGTCCCTCCCGGTGGAGCCAGAATGTTGGGGGCAGGGCTGGCCACCCAGCCTCCAATCCAGCCAGTGAGGGGCCCTCTGGCCAGCCCAGAAAGAGAGGCTGCCATGGCATTAAGAGAGGGCCACAGACACAGTGGGGCTCACCCCTGGGGTAACGAGCCGGGTTGGGGGCAGCAGGGCCAGCTGCCTAGGAGACTCAGCTGAGAGGGAGGCTCTGGGCCTGCTCACTTCCAGCACTGCTCCAGGGAACTGTGGGGCTGGATTTTGAGCCTCTGGGGGCAGAGCAGCTTGGTGAAGGCCCGCCGGAAGCTGTGGTGGCACAGTGGGTAGAGGACAGGGTTGACGGCTGAGTTGACCCACAGGAGCCAGAAGGAGGTTTCGTACCAGTAGTCAGGGACGCAGTGGCCGTGGCAGGCAGCCCGGATGATCATCAGCAGCGTGTACGGGGCCCAGCAGAGCCCGAAGATGCTCACAATGACGGCCAGTGACTTGGCCACCTTCCTGTCCCGAGACAGCCGGAAGCGCTGGGTGAAGCTCTGGGATACCATCTTCATGCGCTTCTCCAGTGAGGCTGAGGATGCCGACGGCTTGGAGCCCCTCTTGAGTGAGCGGGGCCTCTCCGTGCCCCTCGAGGAGCCGGAGCTGGAGGTGGGTGAGGCCTCGGAGCCACCCCCACCGCCACCCCCAAGGGCCGTGTCCCTGGCCTCAGCACCTGTGGCTGCCTCACCCACCCCATACCTGTGCAGCTGCATGGCCTCCCTGTGCCCCTTCCGCCAGCAGCCCCAGCAGCCGGGGGGCGGCCGGGGTGGCGAGGGCTGGGCCTCGGGTGGGGGCTCAGGGCCGGCTGCCTCTCGAGCCCCGTCCAGCCTGAGGCGGGTGCGCCTCTGGATGTTCAGGTAGATGCTGAGGTTAAAGAAGGTGACACTGAGGAAGGGCGTGAAGAACTCCAGGGTGGAGGCCGTGATGAGGAAGTACCAGTTGTAGAAGAACTCTGCGTAGCAGTGGCCCTCAGGGATGGAGCTGCCTCCGGACAGGTACTCCCAGCTCAGGATGGCCGGACCATACAGTAGGAAGGCCAGCACCCACACGAGCAGCATCTTCCGCACCGCCCGCCTTGTGTCGCCCTGCTGGGCCCGGTATGAGACCTGCAGACGGGCAGGCTGGTCAGGGGCAGGGCAGAAGGCATATTGGACTGGGTACGCCCTAGCAGCCTGTGGGTCCTGTGTGGGCTCTTCCCTCAGCAGCAATGCTCCCCTCTTCCCCTCAGTCCTCCCTCCTTCCCTCCCTCTTTCCTCTCTCTCCCCCTCCCCCTCCCCCATCGTGTCCTGGGCTGGCTGATTGGGCTGGCTGATGCCCTGCCACACTCAGTGAGAGCCTCGGAAGCTCCCTGAGACCAACCCGAATCCTCACTCTCCAGGCCGCCTGCTTACCATCCCCTACCAGCTGTGAGCTCCCTGGGGATCCTGTCCTTGGCCCCTGCACCCTGGGACCAGACTTAGCATGGGCCCCAGACCACATGCACATGCAGTTGTTTCTGATATGATGTATCCTGCAAAGGCCTGAGCCATCTTCAGAGGTTGGAGGTGGGAGGTCCAGCCCCACCCCTGCTCAAGTGCTCACAGCCCTGGAAGCTGGAGGTGCAGGAGTGAAGCCATGAGCTGGCCCACTGCTGGGAGACACCCCCCCAAACACAGAACAAAATATCCCAGATTGACATCTCCTTCTCTGGAGAACAGGGAGAGAAGGCAGGGCCCTCCCCAAGGCAGAGAGCAACCAGCTGGTGGGGGTAGGGGCAGAAGGGCCAAGGGTCCCACCGAGGGGTCTCAGGTGGGGCAGCTGGAGGAGGAGGCCCTGAGAGCCTTGTCGCCCTGCCCCACCAGCCTGCTCAAGTGCTATTGATCACAGCTATTGCTAATGAGAGCTGGGCGGAGCACCTCTGAGCCAGGCTCTGGGCTAGGCTGCTTTCCCCTTTGAGTCAGCTCTCCTTGTGCCCCATGCCTGGGGCCTCCAGGAAAGGAGGGAGAGACCACGGGGTGATGGGCTCAAGAGGACCCCAAACCCATGCTCTTTGCACCTGTCTCTTGGCCTTTCTAGGCTAGAATGAAACAGTTGCCCTCAGTTCTGCAGAGGACCTGATAAAGCCCTGGGAAGGTGAGCTGCCAAGGAGAAGATGAGAAGGGGAAGGAGTGACTTCAGCAGCGGCTCCCTGGGCTGCAGAGCACGGATGCAGGAGCCCAGTGAGGGTAGGGTCCCTGACTCAGGTGGCCCTTCCCGTGAAGGGAAACATGGAGTCAGGATCTGCCACCTGCCTTCCTGGGGCCTGTGTGTTATCCACGCTTGCATTCACGCATGTGTGAGGAATGTTGCCCAGGGCCTGTATGTGTATGCATGCTTACACTCATGCATGTGTGAGGGATGTCGCCTGGGGCCCCTGTGCACTCACACATGTGAGGGATGTCATCTGCCTTTCCAGTGCCTGTGTGTGTATGCACACTTGTACTCTCGCATCTATGAGGGATGTCACCTGCCTTCCTGGTGCCTGTGTGTGTATGCACACTTGTACTCGCGCATGCGTGAGGGATGGCACCCATAGCCTCTGGCCCCAGATCCTCCCTTAACTCTGGAAACATCTATGTCCAGATTCCCTGCCTCTTGCCTGGGCCAGGACAGTCTGGCTGGCAGCCATGGCCCCAAGTGGGCAGCTGGCCATTGAGCGGCCCCTATGTCAGCAGCAAGGCCAGTGGGACCAAGCCCACTTCTGCTAAGAACTCAGAAGTGACCGTTCCCACTCCGGTGCCTCCCATGGGCGTCCAGACCAGCCCTGCAGGAGTGAGCAGGGGCTCCAAGGCCCAGGACTCACGGCTCGGGTGACTGACAGGAAGCGGTCGTAGCTGATGAGCACGATGTTGAAGGCAGAGGAGGTGCACAGCAGGTAGTCCACCACCAGCCACAGCTTGCAAAGGCCCCGGCCAAAGGTCCATCGGCCCGTCAGCACATAGGGCACATACAGCGGGATGCAGAAGGCACCTGTGGGGAGCAGGGCCACAGTGGGACCATGCCGCCAGGGGCCAGAGGACAGACCGACCTCAGCACAGACACTGGCAGGACGTGGGGTCACATAGTGGCTGCCTTTCTGGGACCAGCCACCCTCATCTTACCACCCCCTCCAGCTGGTCTCAGCCACACACTCTGCCCTGCCACCAGCCTTCACCCCAAATAGCTCCCAGTACCACTGGTGTCCCCTGGACCTGGAGGCAAGAGGGAAGATCAAGGCATGGGGACCTCTGGCCACCACAAGATTGGGAGAGCCTGGAGTCAGGACTCCCTGGACTTCTGTCCCTCCCTCCCAGTCCTCAGAGGAGGAAAGAAGATAATTTCCCTCTCCCCTCCTTCGAGGGACTCCAGCCCCTACCCTCCCTCTCGGCTTAGACAACGAGAAAACCTTTCTCCTGGCTGACAGAGGGCACTTGCTTGCAGCCGCCAGCCGCTACTACTGCCAAGCCCGGCTTGGAGCGTCTGGGAGACGCACCTCACAGCCCCAACAGGTGTCTGGCGCTCCAGCCCCCTCCGCGTGCCCCGCCCCGCAGCCGGCAGCAGAGTCTGGACACGTGAGAGCACGCTCCTCCGAGCGTCTCCCCCAACCCCCACCTTCCGCACGTCCCCTCCCCCAACACAACTCTAAAAATCTCCCTTCCATGTCCCCTCCCCCAGACCTTCCCTAAACCGCCCCCCTGAGCCCTCCTCACGTCCTAAGTCCGCAGCGGCCTTTGTTTGGCTACGGCGCAGGGGCCAGCGCTGCACCCGCTGCCTTTGCGTCTTGCACCTCTCAGAGCCCGTGTCCCTTCCCGGCGACACCCCTCCCCAGCCCCTGTCCCGTGTTCTGAGTGGCAAGGAGCTTTGTCCGTGACCCCCACTCCATGGGCTCCGGACGCCCCCGGCCCACGCCGGGCCCCCTGGTGGGGCGTGTGCCCGCGGGAGCCACCCGGGTCCGCGCTCCAGTCCCCACCGGCCGGCCACACTGGGTCCCACGGCGGCAGGGGGCTAGGGATTTACCCACGAGGAAGTCGGAGATGGCGAGGTTGAGCAGGAAGAAGTTGTTCTGGGTGCGGAGGCTCGAGTCGGCCACGAAGGCGAGCATGACCAGCGCGTTGCCCAGCACCGTGGCCACGATGAGCAGCGCCATGAGCGCGGCCAGCACCGCGGTCCAGGCTGCCGAGAAGCCGCGCGCCCCGCCCGCCGCCGCCGCCTCGCCAGCCAGAGCCCCCGAAGCGTTCAGCGGCCCGTCGGGCGGCGCGCGCTCCATGGCCCCGCAGGCTCACGCGGCTCCGGGACGCGCGGCAGGGCGCCGGCTGAGAGCTGGGCGGCCGGGAGGGGCCCCGGCCAGGGAGCCTCGTCTTTGTGGGCCCTCGGCCGTGTCGGGTTCCCCGGGGGGCGCCCAGCGCATGGTCCGCGGGGCCGGGGCCTGGGCCAGGGCGGGCGGTGGCTAGGGGGCCGGAGACGGATCCAAGCCCAGCGGCGCCGGGCCGGCGGCGCGGCTGCTGCAGCGGGAGAGGAAGCGGAGCAGGAGCCGCTGCCAGCACGACCGTGCACCCCGAGCGCAACGCGCAGCCGAGTGCGCCCCGCGCCCAGCCCACCGCCCCCCGCGCCCCGCGCAGGGCCCCCGCCATTGGCTGCCGCCCTCGCCCCGCCCCCTCCCCCGCCCCGCCCGGCGCCGGCAGCACCACGGACAGCGCCGCGTGCCCGCCGGGCAGGCTGGAACCCAGCCCCTGCGCTCACCGCAGCTGGCTGGACGCCCGGCCGGGGCTTGGCCGGGTCTGGGGGCTCGCCTGTGGTCAGTCAGCTCGCTCACTCGGAGCCGGGGTCTGGGTTGCTCGGCCTTTCCCCTGCCCTCGGCCCTGGTGACCCCTGCCCGGTCATCATGGGGAGCCCTGGCGCTGGTGGGGACCTGGGCTGGGGGTGGGGGAAACGCCTGCACCCGCGCTCCGGGGAACTTGCCCTGCGGGGCATTTCCTCGGTTCAGGTTTTTAGAATGTGGGTCTCCGGGGAAGGAACGTCTGGTGAAGAAAGGTCGGGGAGGGGCCTTGGAAAGCCGGTGCCCAGACCAGGGGTCTGCTCCACCTCCCCTTTGCACGGACACCGGGTGCCAGCCTCCCTGTGGAAAGGACCCAGTGCAGGGTCCGGGGTGACCTGCAAGGTGCAGGCAGATGTGGAGTTACATAAGGGAAGATGAGGCGCTGGGCGGACCCAGCCGGAGGGGAGCGCGTCCAGCCTTGGCTCCGGCGGCCTCAGGCTGAGGAAGCAGGAAGCCCCTTGGAGCACAGCCATGGACCCCGGTGGACAGAGGGGCAGTCGCTGCTATAGCGGACAGACGAGGTCACTGCGCTCAGGTCGCGGGTGGTGGCTGTGTTAGCGCCTGTGGGAGGGGACGGGGGAGGAGAGGATAGGTGGCCGGAGGAAGCGCCCCGGCCACCAGACACATGCGCTCAGATAGACGGGGTCAAGGACAGATTCCGCCTGAAACACTCAGGGCAGACAGACATGCCCACACTTAGATACACAGACACCCACAGGCCAGGGAAGCTGCCGCCAGTGCCAGGCTGAGCACCCACCAACAGCGAGACACACATCAGACAGCAGGCAGGGAGGGAGCCGCACCTCAGGAGAGGGAAAGCGGCAACTCCGCTCTGTCACCAGCCGCAGGCATCCACGGCACCTCAAAGAGGGTAGAATGCGAGTGCCTGGTGGGGGGCCGCAGAGGGGACCTGGCTGCTGACACCCACCATCACTCCCTCCTGTATAGCAGCTCCCCCATCCTGTGGGGACCCACCCCTTTCCCTCGCTCCCAGTGTCACTTCAGAAACTTTGAGGAGAGTGGGGCTGGGATTCCTCTGCGGCCTCCCCAGGGCTGACTGCAGGGAGGAACCCCCAGACCCATGGCCCCAGCCAACCCACTATTCCTTGGCTTCCAGGTACCTGCTCTGGGGCGGGGCGGGGCTCGGCTTCCCTCTCTTACTACCTGGTTGTACTCATCCCACTCCACCTGCAAACCCACCTCTTCGTACAGGCTCCCCCAGGTTCCCTGCACTGCACCCCAACTCACCCAGTGAGGAGGGGCTGTGCCTGAACCAGGGAAAAGTTTTCAAGGGGAAAAGTTTCACGAAGTCGGGCAGCAAGGGGCTGTGGGGCCACAGAGCTGCCACCCAGACCTGCTGCAGCCCTTGACTCACTGTCCCCACCCAAGCCAGCAACTCCCTGTTGAGTGGACCCCTTCCCAGGCCCTGCTCCTCCCCAAGTACCCGCTGAGGCGGAGGGAGATGGCATTGGGTGGGGTTAAGAGGGGGCCCTGGCTCTCTCCTTCACTGGCTGGAGCCTCAGTGTCCCCATCTTGGAATGGGGAATATAAATCGGAACCCCAAGAAGAACCAAGGATGAAGGGGTCTGCAGGCCCGCCTGACTGTTCTCCCTCCCCATCCCTCCTCCCCTGCCATCCACAGCTGCCCAGGCTTCCCCATACACTGACCAGCCCTGGAGAGCCTGGGCAGTGACAGCCTGGGCCAGATGACCCAGGCAGAGGGAGCTTTCCTGGTATTCTCTCTGCCCCACAGCCACAGGGGGGACACCTCATCCTACCTCTGCCCAACAGCTGTTATGAAACCCCAGCGGAGCCTGCACCAAGATCCAGGGCCCATGGAATCTGAACCCACAAGTGTGGAATCCCACACAGCGTGGCATCGGCCAGGGGACCCACTTCTGCAGCTGTCACCATGGTGGTGACATATCCATCACATGCCTGTGGGTCACCCAGGATTCCCTTGCAGGAAGTCAGAAGAAGGCCTAGGGGTTTGGCCCCTGGCAGTGGGGACCCAGCTGTGTGACCCCAAGTGAGTTACCGAACTTCTCTGAGCTGCTGTAGATGGAGGCTGCATGGAGGGGAGAGGGCCTGGCTTGGCCTGGAGAGCTGGTAATGACTGTGGCTGGCCGCTGTGAACACCCCCTATCGGCCAGACTCGGTGGGAGCGCTTGGTACCTGACCTCACCAGCGCCCCCTACACCATAAAGTTGGGCTGGACTCGCCGCCCTGTAGCGCTGGTAAAGCCCCTGCCCGAGGTCACGCAGGCCCACCCTCTCCACGGGCCCATGCCTGTCCCAGCCTGAGGCTAGCAAGAGCTCCAGCATGACCAGCAGCCGTGTGAGAGGCCCGTGTCCTTGCCCAAACAGAAGGCTGGTGTCCTCTGGGCTGGGGCCTGATGTGGCCAAGGCCATTCAGGGTGCGTGTGGCTAGACCCTGTGTGGTCCATCTAGCCCTGGGGGACTCTGTTCCAGGGAGCAGCTATTCCAGTTGTGTAGAAAAGGAAAGTGGCCAGGGGAGGCCATCCCCGCATTCAGAGGCAGAGGCCAGTGTCCTGGCAGAACCCGGGAGGAAAACGGCTGGAGATAGAGACAGGACTCTGGGCCGGAGCCAGGCAAGCAGACGTGACCACAGGCCTCGCTGGATGGTTTTGGATCACAAGCAAACACCCACCGGAGGCCCTCCACAGGCAACACCCACCGGAGGCCATCCACAGGCTAACATCCATTGTAAGCCAGCCGCCCTGAAGACAGGACATTAGCAAGGCCTGTCATCCGCCAGCAAGTGTTCAACACCCAGCCCCAAAAGGGGGACATTCCCAGAGGAGAGCAAACAGCCACCTGCTGGCAAGCTGGCTCTGTGGGTTCCCCTTTCCCTAGTCCTCAAGGGCCACAGACCTGTTCCAGGTGTGGGTTGGCCGCTCTCACCTGCTGAGCCTACACCGCGATCCAGGGGCCTATGGACTCCAGATCCACAGGCAGGGACTCCTACACAGTGTGGCATCTAACCAGGGGACCTCTTCCCATGAAGGCGGAGCCAACATGGCCCCCTGACCATGGGCTCACTGGGGTCTAGCCTGCCACACCACCCAGGAGCAGCCTCTGGAGGCACACCAGCCTGGGCCACTCACCCACGAGGCTGGCGCTGCCCTGAAGGACACTGATGACAGAGCAGAGACCTTTCCGTGGCTCCACATCTCTAGCCAGAAGACCACAGGCCTTCTGGGCCAGGGAAGGAGCAGGAGGGGCCCGCCTGGCACCCTCCCAACCACCCACGGGGGAATCTGTGCTTTCCAAACTCAGCTCTCTAGGGCTTGAGCTTCTCATCTCTGAGGGACACCTGCTCACCAGGGACACAGCTTCGGATGGCTCCAGGCACTTTGAGCTCCTGAGCTCCAGCAGACAAGACAAGGAGCCACCTTTCTATGGGGGTAAGTGGCCCTGATCAGCAGGAGGAGACGGGGCTGCTGTTTCCAGGAGAGGAGGGGTGGGAGGGGGTGAGTAAGACTCAGAGCCCTCTGGGTGTCATGGCACCCCCTGGCCCGATCATTTCTGTGCATGGACAAGCACAGCCACCCCAGCCTGAGAAGGTCCAGTGGCCACGGCTCAGGGAAAGAGCGTGAGGCCCCAGGACCTGCAGTGGTGACAGCCAAGGTGGGAGAGTGCAGGAGGAAGGGGACGCATGTCAGGCAAGGCCCCAGCTCAGCTGCCCCTGCTCCCTGGCCCTCAATCCTTCACAGGTCTCATCCCAACACAACCACCCCACCTCCCGTGATGTCTTAGCATCTGCTTCCTGAGGACCCACGTTGACACAGCCCAGGTTCCAATTTTGAAAGGGTGGTCTGGGAAATTTCCACTGAGAAGGAGACACAGGAGCAAAGGGAGGAAGAGAGGGAGGTGGATGTTAGAGGGAGCAGAGTTCCAGGAAGGGGAACAGCAGGAGTGAAGGCCAAGGGGTGGGGCCCGTCTATTGCAGGGGCAATTCGGAGGCCTGGGAGGCTGGAGCTTGGGCGGGGGCATACGGGGGCGCATCGGAGGGGCAGGACTTGTAGCCCCTGGAGCTGCTACAAGGATGCTGATGTTTTCTCAGACAGGTGCTCCAGGAGGCCTGGGGATACTTTTACAGGATCCCCTGACTGCACTGGAGGGTGGTCTCTAGGTGGATGAAGACAGAGAGACCAGAGGGGCGGTGCCAAGAGACTCCAGGTGAGAGGTGATGGTGACTGGGGGAGTAGGCAGAACGGGCAGATTCTAACATGAGCTGGCATGTGAGGGGTGAGAGAGCAGAGGAGGGGAAGGACCCAGCCCAATTCCACGATTTGGGCTCAAATGCCTCAAAGGAGGTGCTGACAATGATGAAGAGGTGCCCTGTTTGAGGACGTTGAGGCTGAATTGGCAACTGGACGTTCAAGAGATGAGGCTGATCACATGGGCAGTGGGGGGCTGGGGTGAAAGGAGCTCTGGGCTGGCAGCCACGCTGGTGTCACAGCAGCCAACAGCAGGACGCTGTCCCATCACCCTATGCCATTGGGGAACAGCTCTGCCACCAGCATCTCTGATGCCCAGAAAAGACCCTTCTCTTTGGAGCCAATGGTGTGCCCAGGTGCTGTCCCTGCAGAGCTCTGTCTCTACTGCCTGGGGACACAGCTGTTAGTGAGTAATATAGGGGTAAGGCACGGGGCCTCCAGGGCCTGTGCAGGACAATTGTCCTGCTAGTTGCAGCCAAGGCACCTGTGGGGGTCCAGGGCCAGCTCTGTGCTGTCTCTTCCAAGGAACCCATATTTGCTTTCTCTCTGCAGGAGCTCATTTAAATATGGGAATGTAAATTTTTCTTTTTTTGTT